GGTGTAGAGGTCAAACTTGCTGCAGTGAGAGAGGACTGGTGAGCCTCTGGAGGGAGGCCCCCCCCCCCCGCCCAGAAGGACTCACTTGAACTCTTGCACCCAGGGCAGCATGTCCAGATCTTGCTGGTTGCACAGCTGCCGGTAGTTACCGCCCGTGTGCCATGGGTAGAAGGAGTGGAATCGCACCATGTAGAAAGCCTGCAGAGGCCGCGTCCGCGTGCTCAGGTTTGCCTGACGCACGGGACTGGGCCAGGCTCAGCCCGGGTCAGCCCCTCCCTCCTCCCTCCACCTACCTCCCAGGGCAGGGAGAACTTGTTGAACTTCATCATTTGGTAGAGGTACTCTGCAGGGGAGGGGCTGTCACTGGCCGGCACCCAGGGTGCCCCCACCGCCCTCCCACCGCTCCCTGCCCCCCTCCGGCCCCCCGTACCGTCATGGCCCCAGGACATGAGGACATTCTCGAGCCCACAGTGGGGCTGGTACATGCCGAGCTCGGTGCTATAGTGAGTAAGAGACAAGCATGAGAGGCCGGGGCCCGGGCAGGGGGACGCCTCGCAGGGCAGGACGGCACCTGTATCGAGGGTCTTGGAGGTCAGGGTTGTCCTGGAAAGTGCAATCACGGAACACCACGGAAGCCTGGGGACGGCAGCCGACGGGAAAGGTGTCTCCAACTACTGCCCACTGGGGATGGACAGGCACCCGTGAGTGGGGTGTGGCTCCAGCCTGCTCCCTGGGGAACGGAGGACGCACCCGCCTCCCACACCTGCCCCTCACCTGCGGCTCCCCCCACAGAGCCAGGACCTTTCCCAGGTCATGCAGGAGCCCAACGAGGTGGAACCAGTCTAGGGACAACGGACACATAAAGGAAAGGTAACGAGGCTGCAATAGCATGAGCGGGCCTTGAGCTGGGGCAGGAAGGGGTTGGGCCTGTTCTCTGGGGGGGGCTGAGGACCCCCCCACCTGGGGGCAGGGGCAGCACCTCCCCACCACAGCCAGGGGACGCACCCTTGTCTGGATGGGCTTTCCGAATGCCCTCCGCTGTCTGGAAGGCATGGAAGGAGTTGGGGAAGTCCACGTCTGGGTCTGACGCGTCCACCAGGTCATCCAGCAAGTCCACAGCCTCCATGACTGTCATTTTTTTGTAGGAAAAGCTTCCAAACTGGGCGCGCTGGGTGGAAGGAGAGAAGTCAGCCCCCCTGGGGCGTGCAGGGCAGGACCGCCTGCAGAGAGCCTCCTGGCTACCGGGGTGCAGTGGCCCAGGGAGAGGAGGTCCTCGCCCTCCGAGTTTGCAGGGGGAGCAGGAAACGCCTACCTTCCTGTTTACGAAGTCCACGGTCTGGTGCGTGTGCATGAGCTTATAGGTGGTAAAGACACGATCCAGGAGGGGGCCTGACTGCAAGGCAGGAACTCGTCATCAAGAGCCACAGCTTCCCCTTCCCCAGAACAGGCTCTACAAGGTGTCAGCAGGGGCTTCCCACACGGCCCCCAGGAGCTGCTCTTCCCAGAGCCGGTGGGCTGGGCCACAGAACAAAGGGATGCTCACCATGTAGTTCCGAAAACTGTCCTTGTCTTTGGTCATCTCTGGGTCCGTATCGGGACGGTAAATCAGGGAGGGATCTGGACCCTGGTCAGATGGGGGATTTGACCCATTCACCATCATGCCTGGCCCGTGAGGAAGAGTCGGCCTCCCTGGGCCAGAACCAGGCCGGCGGTGGACAGCGGAGGCAGCAGCCTGAGTCCATGCACAGGTCAGCCCCCACCCGGCTCCCCTTCCGGGTCCTAAACCCCCGTATGGGCTAGATGCCTGCTTCCGTGGTCAGAGCCATCGGCACCCCAACTGGGCACCCTCACAGGTGGAAGTTACTTCTAAGAGGAGGCCTGACACCACAGAGAGCCTGGAGTGAGGGCCTGCCCACCCTCCACCTCTGAGCACAACAGGGGGGGGCATAGCCTGGAAGAGGGCAGTGCTGCTGCCTCCTGGCTTGAGCGGTGAGGGCTCTGTGGGGGACCTGCCCTCACTAGGCTCTGGGGTACTTACCATAACCACCTTCATCCTGAGGAGCCGTGCCCTGGCGGAGCAGCTTCCAGGTCAGCGAGATCCTTGGGTCAGGTGCCCTATATATGCCCACAGGTTACATAAGTGACCGGACACCTACCTAGCCCCTTGGCCTTGGCCCTGGGTAATGAGTGACTATCCGCCCTTCTCCTGGCCGCAGCAGGTTAATGTGTCGGTGTAGGAGCAGCCCCCGCACGGACCAGCTCCCCTGCCCTGAAATAACTGACCTGCTCCAGCCCCCAGGTGCTGCTCGGCAGCCCAGCTTCTATGCCCCCAGGCATGGAACACCTCGAGGCTGCACAGCTGTGTGGAGTGTGAACCACACCCAAGGCACATGGTCCCTACACTTTATTTTGAAAAGCAACAGCTTGTTCTAGGACACCTATAGATTATAGGTGGGCAAAGGTTTATTAAATACAAAATTATTCAATGGCCAGGGTTTTAGCTCAGTGGCAGTTTGATTGCTTATGGGCACATCCCTAGGTTTGACCTTCAGCAAACAGAAGGAGAGGGAGAGAGAAGGGGAGGAGAGGGAGGGAGAGGAGGACAGAGATGGGGAGGGAGAAGATTGGAGGATGGGAGAGGAGGGGGGAGAAGGGGAGAGAAGGCACATAAAAATGGCACGAAAAAGTTTTATTTATGACTGCCACAATAAGGTAGTGAGATTAAATACAACCAAGACAATTGCAGATTTATAGAGTTGAAGTCAGTGGGAAGGAAATTACTGGGGCATCAGGGGTAAGGAGGGCTGTTGCTGATGACTGAGGTGATTCTGCTGAATTCTTGCTGGAAGCAGCTGGGTGCCAACTATCAGGGTGAGAGAGAGGGTTCTTCACATACTAACTGAGGATTTGGTTTGCTTTGAATGATGGAGACCTGCTTCTGAGGCTACATTCCAAGTCCTGACAGAATTCTTGCTAATCTCAGCAAGGACAGGGGCAAAGTCAGGAGCGGTCTCAGGACAGCTGAAGTCTGATCAAGGAGGGGTTGGGCTTCTGAGAAAGGAGTTCTGGAGAAAGCAGCATGGAGTGGGAATCAAACCACACGTCTGTCTACTAGTCTCGGAGTATGCAGGAGCCAAACAGAGGAAAACAGCCACGTCGGGAGGAGCATTCTTGGAGATAACAGAGCAGGGAAGAGGGCAATGGTGGGTGAAAGGGCAGGCACCATGATCTAATGAAGAGAACATACAGAGACCTCCCCCCTCCTAAAATGGCACTGTGACCGCTCCATTCTTTGCTTACTGATCTACCTTTGAGCTATGCTTCTCCGCCTCTCCCGCTGGGAGCTTTGCTGTGGGAGGGCAGGCCGGGCTCGCTGGGTTGTGTTATTGTGCTAGATGCTCAGGGTGTACTGGAGAGCTCCAGGGCTCCGAGGGAGACTTGGAACCATTTTCCTCGAAGCAGCTGGAGCAGGCTTCGGTCAGGAACAAGCACCGGCATCTAGACAGTTTTCCAGGAGGGCAGACAGCGTGTAGAAGTGGGTGTGAGGGGAGCGCTGTGGGGCCGAGCTGGGGGTGAGCAGGCCCTGCTGCCACCGGACCTCCTGGTGGGGGATTCAGAAGGCACTGGAGCATAGCCAAACGCCGTGTGGGGTTGGCATCATACCAGACACAAGGCTTCGGCCATGACCAGCAGCCTCCTGACCCTGCATGGATGCCAGGACACCTCCCATCTCGTGGAAAGGCCGAAGACTTGGGCCCTTGCTGAGGCCACTAGCAGGTAGGATTCTGGGGAGCGGTAGCCGGCCCAGGTGTCTAGTCAGGGAAGACACAGAAGGTTGGGGATTGGAGGGGTGTGTGTGGGGGGGAAGGCGCTCCAGGAACAGGGAGCAGCTTGTGCTGAGGGACAGGCCACACACAAGCCCAGGTAACGTGTGAGCCTGGGCTCTGCCCAGCGCCCAGGATGCCAGGAGGGCCCCACAGAGCTGACTGTGAGGAGGAGCTCCTGCCTCTCCCCAGTATCCGCACACACTCGCCTTTCCCGCTGGCTCCACCTGCCCCCTGCCGCCTGCTGCTGCCCATCCCGCAGGGTGAGGGGCCCTGAGAGAGATCTCCAGCCTTCCTCGGGGCCTGGCTGCCGCGGGGGGCTCTGTGGGTGGGCACCGAAGCCACCTGGAGTATCTGTATCTCTGACCTCTGTGTGGCTGAGCAGGCATGGTGAAGTGCCGCTACCAGCAATGCTGGCAAGCACTGCAAACCAAGCATGAGTGATTGATGAAAAACAACCCTTTGGGGCTGGGAAGGTGGCTCAGTGGCAGAGCGCTTGCCTCGCATGCACGAGGTCCTGGGTTTGATTCCTCAGCACCACATACACAGAAAAAGTCGGACGTGGGTGCTGTGGCTCAAGTGGTAGAGTGCTAGCCTTGAGCTGAAGAGCTGAGGGACAGCGCCCAGGCCCAGAGTTCAAGTTCTACAACCACCTCCACCAACAATAAAAAACCCTTTCTGAACCCCTAAACCTCTGGACAGGTGTGAAGTTTGGGTGACATAGCCTGTGCAAAGGCCTCCCCTGGGGCAGACATGTGTCCTGTCTTCGTTGTGTGTGAGGCTCGTCTGTGCTCACAGGGCTCTTGGCTAGGGAACAGGAGTAAGCCTGGCAGTACCGCTGCCCCTCTCTTGATGGCGCCACTCAGGGGCACTGACCGTTTGGTGCTTCTCATCCTAGCTCCCCCTCCCCTTTCCTTTTAAGATTCCCATTTGTTTATGCCGAACTGGGGCTTGAACTCAGGTCCTCATGCTCTTCCTTGGATACACCTACCAAGTAATACTTGGACCACACTTCCACTTCTGGCTTTTGGGTGGCTTACTTGGAGGTAAGAGTCTCATGGACTTGTCTGCCCAGACTGGCCCTGAATCACAACCCTCAGCCTTCTGAATATCTAAGTACAGACATGAGTCACCACAGCCCAGCTCTTCCTTTTTTAGGGGGAAGGGGTCGTGTGTGTGTGTACAGGGTCCAACTCTATAGCTATGTAAACCAGGTTGCCCTGAAACTTGCTAGTTATCCAAGCTGTCCTTTAACCTCCCCATTTCCCTACCTTAGTCTCCCAAGTAGGTTTCAATCGTACACCACTCTGCCGGCTTGGGGATGGGTCTTGGAGGACCTAGTTAAGCTGGGGGATCTTGCTCTCACCCAACCCCTGCTCTACCCTTAAGGTAGGAAGAGGTGTCGCTGCTCTGCCCTAGAACGCCCCTGAAGCCCTATGCTTTCTCACCAATTGCTTACAAGAGACTTTGGTGGGGTTTCTATCACCGTTTTGTCCTGTATCCCAGGGTTGCCAATTCCAATTGTGGAGGTTTCTTTCCTCTCCTTAACAATCTTCCTTGTTACCCCTCCTATGTCAGGTCTCAGTCAGAGATAGTCTGTGGGCCCTGGATGAGGCATATCCGCAGACGGGCAAGCCACACAGGACAGCAGCAACCCTGGGACCATGGTTGGGAGGAGCCACACGGGGCCATTCAGCCCCGCTCTGTCCTGATGGACCCGTGCATTCAGGACCCTGGTTTCCTTTCTGCCTGCCGCACAGACCCTCCCCCGAAACCCTTTTGGCATCTGATACTGCAGTCATTCCCCACACTGCTCATTGAGTGTGCACAGTTCTACAGGTGCAGATGCTGCATGTAAACTGACTATGTCTGCACAGAGTGGGTTTATGTCTCCAGCAAGGCGTGGATAGAGTTGCCGTGGGACCTGCTGGCTGTAGGAGCACTGGGGGATGGGGCCCGGGTAGGGGCCTCAGCCGCAGCTCTGGGATGAGGGTATGGCGACCAGCTGGGACAGGATGGGAAGAAGTACGGCTGGAATGCACTTCAGCCATAGCTGTGCGGGCTGCTGGGGTCCACGGGTGCTGAGTTCCGCCGGCCGGCCGGCCCTACGAGCTGCCACAGACGATGGCTGAGGTTCTGTACCTGGCACGTGCCCAGCACACAGCCGACTCTCAGGAGCTGGGCATGGGGCCTTCGGGGTCCCAAGTGTCTCTGGAGACGTGAGTGGCGTGGGCCACCATGCTGGAGAGGCTGACCCACCATGGGGGCCAGGCTGGCCCTCTTCTGCGGCTGGGGAGCCTTCTTCTGTGGCTGGGGAGCCTGGTGAAGCTTCCGGAACATAGGCTGGGGTGCAGGTTGCCAGGGTGGCAAGCCACTGGAAGGAGTCCGGGCTAGGGGCTGCCTGTGGGGGGGGGAAGGGCGTGCAAACCCAGTGAGTCAGCCAGTCAGGCCTCAAACCCACCCACCTTCCCTCCACCCTGGCCTGAGGTCACCGTGGGGAAGCCCACAACTTCCCCAAAGCTTGGCGCAGGTCCATTGGAAGTCCACAGCACCCCCACACACATACCCACACGCACACAATCTGGTACAATGCCAGGGGAAGCCCACCACCCTTAGGAGCTCAGTCCTGGAAGCTTGGCCATCTTAGTAGCCCAGATCACATGTCCCATTAATGACCCCTCCTGGGACAAAGAGCACTGGGATGCACTGGGCCAGAACTCAGAAGGATCCTGCGGCCCTGCTCTTGGAGGCCAGCCGGCCAGAGGGTGCCTCAGCCTCCTCTGCCCGGCAGGTCCTGTGCTGCAGGGTTGCTCTGCCAGTGTGTGTGTGTGGGGGGGGACGCAGGGACTAGGAGGAGAAGGCAAGGAAGAGAAACCCTACTCTGTCCGGACCATCTTGAAGGGGGGGGGGGCATTGGCCTCTGTGTGTGGGATAAGCCAGTGACACCAAGGAAGGGGGGAGAAGCCACACATCCCTCCCGGCCAGATGGTCCCTGGGACCGTCCCGGGCACTCACCTGGGCCGTGCCAGTCCCGACAGCACGCAGGGCAGTCGCAGGTAGAGGAGGCTGATGCAACCCAGGGTGACACTGAGCGTCAGGAGCCAGGCCATGGCGGGCGGAGCTGCAAAAGGGCAGGTGGGGACGCTGGCACGGGGCAGCCTGTGCCCAGATCTGGCCCAGGGGCCCGCAGGGGTGAGGTAGCCCGCGGGGGTCCAGTGGCCCCAGGGGTGGAGGCAGGGTGGATACCAGCGCCGTCGTCGTCGTCGTCGTCGGGGCGCCGGTCTCGGGCCAGCAGGCGGGTCTCTGAGTCTGTTGGACGTGGGGAACTGGCCAGGTGGACAGGGAGGAGGCTCACGTGGTCCGCTCGTGGTCGCCGTTGGGATCTGCCTAGGACAGACCCTTCCGCCTGCTTGCACCTCTAGTGCTAAGTAGACTTTCCAGCAGGAGGTGGAGCTGGACGGCCCTTGGGAGGAGCGATCCTGCTCTCCCTCCTCCCCTTTCCCTTTCCCCTCCCCCCACCCCTGCGCATCCCTGGGAAGCCCTGAGGCACTACTGGGGTCACCTAGTGTTTCCTGTCCCCGGTGGGAGGGGTTTGCCAGGAATCTTGGGTCTGTACCAGCCTCATCCCTGGCCCTTTCTGGTGGGTGACCCTGTCCCAAAGGCCAGTTGGGGCCAGACCTTTAGGCCTTAGGCTGGGTGCTGAGGAGAGGCTGTAACCAGCCACAGCCACGTCCACCTTTCAGGGAGGAGGGAGCACACTTCAGCCTGTGGGGACTCCAGCAGCGACTGGTGGAAGATTCCACTGCCACCTCCCACACCCTTCCAGGTCCCTGGGTAGACTCCGCCTACAGCTCTCACTACCCACACCTCCTATTGTTTTTGTAAGAAAATTTGAATGAAAAGTAAGACACTGTCCTGGCTGGCTGTGTCACCCTCTGTGGGTCTCTCCTGCCTCAAATGCATACCTTTGGTTATTCTGTGACTGTGTGCAACCCACAGATCTGCTTGCAACATGTAAAAATATATGTAAACAAAAAGAAGAACCCTAAGCTTTCTTATTCTGTCTGTTGTGGAGCTTGAACTCAAAGCCTGGGTGCTGTGTCTGACATCTTTTGTTCAAGGTTAGCACTCTACCTCTTTGGCCAGTTTTCTGGTGCTTAATTGTAAAGTATCACATGGACTTTCCTGCTCAGACTGACTTTGAATTGTGATCCTCAGATCTCAGCCTCTTTAGTAGCTAGGATTACAGGTGTGAGTCACCAGCACCTAGCTTAATCTTTATTTTTGGCTTACTGTGTACAGCAATTGTAGGTAGTCTGTGATTTATTTAGTCAGTGTGTGTGTGTGTGTGTGTCTGTGTCTGTGTATGCCAGTACTGAGGCTTGAACTCAGAGCTGAATGAACTATTTCGCTCAAGGCTAGTGCTCTACCACTTGAGCCACAGCTCCACTTCTGTTTTTTTTGCTGGTTAACTGGAGATAAGAATCTCATGTATTTTTCTGCTTTGGTTGGCTTTGAACCACAAACCTCAGATCTCAACTTCCTGAGTAGCTAGGATGACAGGCATAAGTCACTGGGGCCTGGCTAGTCAGCCCTTTAGTAAGATGAAATTTTATTTGTAGTCTTTCTACAAGCAAGAAACCTGCTGTTGTGGTCTCATTTCTACCCATGATTGTCCTTGGCCCTAGGAGAATTTTACCTCATCTCCTCACCAACAGAGTTCTGCCTGAGAAGCTCTGCACCTGTGTCTCCCTCTCATCACGCACCTATTCTCCCCCCCACCTGTGGCTCCTCTGGTTTCCTGGCCCCCCTGCTGAGCACACCCCATGGGTACTCAGCAAACGCTTGAATACAGATGAATACATCCATGAGTGCTGAATGCAGGCTGAAGACCTTGGTTAATGACAACAAAAATGGTGTGGTTGCCGTGGTGGGATGAGAATCACCTCTAGACCTCAGGCTTCAGCATAGCTGCTTCTGTCCTCATCCATCCAAAAGGTACTAAAGGCCCTCACTGAGGACAGACCCTTAGGCAGCATACCTTATGTCTCTTGCTGCATTCAACTGTCCATGTCTTTCTAGGGGAGACTCAAGCACCGTTTTCATTCACCCTTAGTTGGGAAAAAATGCTTTTGATGGAATAATGGGCTACTTGTCTCAATGTTGCTGAAGCACATGAAAAATAGACAAGAAGTTTCTCAGGGAGTCAGGAATGAGCTCAGGAGGGCTGATTGGTGCTGGTAATACTGGAGAATACTTTAGAGACATCTGTTTAGGACCAAAAGGGTGACAGCTTCATAAAGGAAAGTACTGTTTGAGTACTGTGCTGGTCCTGAGGGTTGAACTTGGGGCCTAGGTGCTGTCCCTGAGCTTTTTTGCTTAAGGTTAGCTTTCTCCCACGAGCCACAGTCTCAGTTCTGGCTTTTTTTTTTTTTTTTTTGTAGGTTGTAG